TTGCTACCGTTGTTTTTTGAGACAGGGTCTCTGTCGCCCAGCCTGGAATACAGTGGCATGATCACAGCTGACCGCACCCTCAACCTCCTGGCTCAAGCGATCCTCCCTCCTCAGCCTCCAAAGTGGCTGGGACTATAGGCATGCACCACCAGGCCCAGCTAATTTTTTCTATTTTTGTAAAGACAAGGTCTCACTATGTTGCTTAGGCTGGTCTCAAACTCCTGGGGCTCAAGCCATATGCCCAACTCAGCCTCCCAAAGTGTTGGGATTATAGGCATGAGACACCATGTCCAGCCCATTACATATTTATTTTTTAAAAATCACTCCAACTTTAAAATTTCTTCTAATAAGCATGATTACCTTATGAAAGAAACAAACACATTTGGCTGAGTGTGGTGGCACACACCTGTAGTCCTAGCTAATTCAGAGGCTCAAACAGGAGGATCACTTGAACCCAGGGGTTCCAGGCTGCAGTGAGCTATGATCATGCCACAGTACTCCAGCCTCAGCAACAGACTAGGACCCTGTCTCAAAAAAACAAAAAAGCAAACATATTTAAAAGACTATTTGAGGGACAGGTGCGATGACTCATGCCTGTAATCCCAGCACTTTAGGAGGCCGAGGCAGGTGGATCACCTGAGGTCAAGAGTTCCAGACCAGCCTGTCCAACATGGTGAAACCCTGTCTCTACTAAAAGTACAAAAATTAGCTTGGCATGGTGGCGTGTGTCGGTAATCCCAGCTACTCAGCAGGCTGAGGCACGAGAATCACTTGAACCTGTGAGACAGAGGTTGCATTGAGCCGAGATCACGCCACTGCACTCTAGCCTGGGCGATCTCAAAAAAAAAAAAAAGAAGAAGAAGGGAATGGCTCCGTGGAGCTGAGAAAAGGAGTATTAAGTAGTAAAAATGGGTGAGGGCATTCATAGTTCTTCCCAGAAAAGTTTTCTCACCAAACAACATAAATATTTGACGTCTTGGTAGTTTAATCCCTATTTTTATCTCCTTTCTTGAAATTTTTACAGACAACAATAATGCTCTATGATCTGGAACTACTTTGAAATTTTTACAGACTGCAATAATGATCTATGATCTAGAGCTACACTTTAATATGATAGCCACTAGCCACACATGGCTACTGACCATTTGAAACATGAGTAGTCCAATTTGAGATGTGCTGAAAGTGTTGAATACACACTGAATTTTGAAGACTTAGTATGAAAAAGAGAATGTGACATAATTCATTAATAATTGTTTAATATTAATTCCATGTTGAAATGATAATATTTTTATATACTGGGCTAAATAAGATATTATTAAAATTGGTTTAATAATTTCTTTTTGCATTTTAAATGAGGTTACTAGAAAATGTAAAACTACATGTGGCTTGCATTATATTTCTATTGGACAGTGCTGATGTAGAAACTTGGAGCCTTTCTCCTTTACTGACCTCTATCTTGAAGCAGACCTCGATAATCTTCTAATGTGGTCTGGTCCTGCTTACCTTAGCCCCCTGTTTGCCTTTGCATGGAAGTGGGGTAGCCACTTAAATGTGAAGGACCCTCTGTTGGGCTGTTTAATTTCCATTCTGCTTCGTTAACTTTTTAAAAATTTTGTACCTAAAGAACTTGTTTTAATATACTGTACTGGAAATATCTGGAAATATATGTTCATGGTCAAAGAATCAGAAAATACTGACGGCAAAAATAACAAAATAAAAGCACTCATAAAGCCCACTATCCAGAGACAATCACTAATGACATTTTGGCATATATGCTTCCTGAAACTTTCAATATGCAAATATATATCAAGGCACACAGATATAAATATTTTAGCAAAATGGGATCATACTGTATATATTATTTTCTAATCTATTTTCTTTTTTTTTTACCCAATCAAAAAAAAAAAGGACAAACATCTTCCCACATCAATAAATATATTTTTCCAATTTTGTCATAGTTTTACCCAAAAGTCACCTCAGAAATGAGGCCTTCTCTGACCACTCAATTTAAAATTGAACTCTTATGCGTGTATATATATACACACACATTCCCCTCAATGAATTACTTTTCTTTATGGTATTCATCACCTTCTCACATATTATATAATTTTAAATTTTTTGTTTCTCCTACTAGAACATAAGCAACATGAGAACAGAGATTTGCATCTCTGTTCACTCTACCTCAGAGCCCGTAACTGTGCTTAGCACACAGATGATGCTTGAATATTTTCTGCATAAATGACTGAATAAACTACACAGCATTTCATTATGGTGTGTTTTCTGGTTGAGTTTCAAAATAGTTGATTTATTTCTGTATTTCTCCTATATCTACATTTAAGGCAGCATTTTATTTATTTATTTATTTATTTATTATTTATTTATTTATTTATTTATTTTGAGGCGGCGTCTAGCTCTGTCGCCAGGCTGGAGTGCAGTGGCGCCATCTCCGCTCCCTGCAACCTCCACCTCCCGGGTTCAATCGATGCTCCTGCCTCAGCCTCTCGAGTAGCTGGGACTACAGGCGCTGCGCCACCACACCCAACTAATTTTTTTATTTTTAACAGAGACGGGGTTTCACCGTGTTAGCCAGGATGGTCACGATCTCCTGACCTCGTGATCCGCCCGCCTCGGCCTCCCAAAGTGCTGGGATTACAGGCCTGAGCCACCGCGCCCGGCCTTAAGGCAGCTTTTAAAGTCTTCAAAGGATCTGCTATTAAGTAACAATACAGAGGGCCGGGCGCGGTGGCTCACGCCTGTAATCCCAGCACTTTGGGAGGCCGAGGCGGGCGGATCAGGAGGTCAGGAGATCGTGACCATCCTGGCTAACATGGTGAAACCCGGTCGCTGCTAAAAATAAAAAAACTAGCCGGGCGAGGTGGCGGCGCCTGTAGTCCCAGCTACTCAAGAGGCTGAGGCAGGAGAATGGGGTGAACCTGGGAGGCGGAGCTTGCAGTGAGCTGAGATCGTGCCACTGCACTCCAGGCTGGGCGACAGAGCGGACTCCGTCTCAAAAAAAAAAAAAAAAAAAAAAAAATCTACAATCTATCCATTTACTAGAAATTGTAACTAAGTGTTGCACAACTTTATTGAAGATTTCATTTGTCCTAACACACTTAGGACCTTCTAATAGATTCAGAAGGTCCTAGGTGTGTTCTATTAGGCTCATGACAAATTAGCCCAAATATGCTGTTCTGTGATGATTTGGCTTAATATAGGACTAAATTTTGGACTATCTAAAGCGATAGATGGATTGTATTTCCTTCATACAGTTCTCCACCAGTGTTATTTCTCGCTTAGGACCTTCTGAATCTCCATCTGGTGTTTTTCGAAGAAACAGTGGTCAAAACTCAACATCATATTTGCTTTTAGATGTCACAGAAGGTGGTGTCCACTATATCACTGTCTTCTCAGAAAAGCCACACATTTTTTTTTTTTTGCCCCTCTTAATAGGCTTTTATAAATCCTAAGAGGAATGTGAATTTCATTTTGTATTTTAATTTGCTTTAGCCACCAAGAAGCTCACAGCCGAATTCACAGCCTAGCTTTAGTATTTGGAAATGCTACTTATAGAATGTTTTTCTATGCATTAATTTTCCTTTTGCTGCCATCTTATTTCAGTTTTCCCTTTACCCCTACTTATTTTTTTTACTTAACCTTGAAATTCAACCCTGACTTTAAAAATTTATGTTTTCCTATTATTTTGTGTATTATAGCAAGATGTTGCAAATATTTTTTGGAACTAGGCAAATGTAAATCAATCATTAAATCAATCATACAGCAGTGGAGCTAAATGCAGCAGCTATCATACTTGATGATATTAACTATTAAGAACATCTAATTTCCTTTCCCATAGTGCCATATTCACTAAGCCACTCTCTGATTTTAATATGGCTTTCCCTGTCGACTTTTGTATAGAGAATAGAAAGAGAATGCTGGATTCCTCTAAACAATTATATTTCTCGCAATTTAGCACATAAACCCAAGTACCAATCTATTGCACTGGATTACAGAAAGGCTAGAAATTCCCACCTGAAATTTAAAATTAGGATCACTATTTCAGTTAGACATGACTTTGATGTGGTCCAAGACTAGAGGTAGAGAAGGATGGGCTGAATATTCCTAGAAATTCCATCCAGTTTATCAATTTGCATTAAAATGGCTGAAACCAAATGTCTCACAGGACCAGGAAAGGAAGCAAGCAGGAACTCAATTTTTGCCAGACCCTCCCCCCCCCCCCCCCCCCCGCCGCCTTGTTTGTTGTTGTTGTTGTTGTTGTTGTTTGTTTTTTTGAGATAGAATCTCCCTCTGTTACCCAGGCTGGAGTACAGTGGCTCAATCTCGGCTCACTGCAAACTCCACCTTCTAGGTTCAAGCAATCCTCATGCCTCAGCCTCCTGAGTAGCCGGGATTACAGGCACACACCACCATGCCTGGCTAATTTTTGTATTTTTAATAGAGACAGGGTTTCCCCATATTGGCCAGGCTGGTCTCGAACTCCTGACCTCAAGTGATCTGCCCGCCTCGGCCTCCCAAAGTGCTGGGATTACAGGCATGAGCCACCACACCTGGTCCAGACCTATTTTTAAGTCTGAGGTAGGCAGCAAGGCACCATGGAGAAATGTTTATTATTATCACACTTGTCTGATTAGAGCCTGAACCACAACTGGGGACTTGATTACTAGCATACAAAGATTTTTGGTAGGTTTTCTTTGTTTTTCATTTGGTTATTGTTAGTGGCAGTCCCAGAGTACTGTATACACACACCCTCCCGAGGCTCAGGTTGGAACAGATGGAATTCTTGGCTTTGACCATTTTGTAGGAGTCGGGTGAGGAGGATGGGGGAAAGACTCTGTTTTTTTTTTTAATGATCCCAACACTTTCTCTCAAATCCCTGTTATTCTAATTCTTGCCTTTTACAAGGTCATGAAGAGATGATTGGATCAAGGAAATGTCCTGACCCCAGGCTATACAGTGTAGAAGTCACAAACCCTGTTCAGTCCTTCTCATTAAACTTCTGGGCTTTATTTATTTTTTTAATACGACCATTACATATTACACAAAAATAAAAGTCAAATGAACTTGGTATTTATAAATTATTAAATAAAAATACAGGAATATAGATTTATATTTATAGAGCTTTCTTTTCTTCTAAACTAACCAAATCTGTTCTGCCGTTTTATGATTTTAAAAAAGTAAAATAGTGTATGTGTGCCCTAGAATAAGTGGGGAGTGGGATTAATAATCGCAGGACCGAGTTGCCCTACTTCCGCTCCTTCCTTGGCCTAAGCAAAGTCTCTATTAGTCCCTTTGGGCTCTGGAGAGCAAGAAACCCCTCTCCTCCTACTTAATCGTTGAAAAATGGCAATTACATTTATTTCCCTTGTTTTTTAAAAAATGAAATGGATTTAAAAATTGGGAGCCATACTTAGCCTTCTTGGCCAAGAGCTAATCCCAAGGAACTATATGGCTCTAGAAGAGAGTCCCTAGTTTTCCCTGACAGAAGAGTCTCTGGGGTTTCCCTTCAAGCTAAGAAGGGCAGGACAGGTCAAAATTGCTCACTGTGGTCCCATCTAAGCTCTGTTTCTGGGAATCCAGACCAAGCCCTTTACCCTTTCAGAAAACAGCCTCTCTTTCCACCCAGGTGTCAAGACTTCAGAGCAGGGCATTTCGGTAACCTGGCCATGGTCCCTGCAGCCCCTCTTGGCTAAAGGTCCCGGGGAATGCTAACAGGGATATGCGTCCTGTGGTAGAGGGTAGGGTGAAGAGTGTGCTCCAAACCTGGGGAAGGAAGCACAGGTTCCAATTTGGAGCCGATGGTCTAGTCAGTGGTTTTCCAACATTTTTTCAACAGCAAACCCCTAATGCAAATAAAATCTTACCCTGAACCCCGATATGTAAGACAGCTACAAGGGGAGCTGTTCAGTTTGAGGGCAAATTGCCCAGCCTGCTCAACTCCCCACCCCCTTCATCTCCCCAAGGACTCCTGAGGCAACCCCTAGGAAACTTCAGGGCTCTGCCAAGCAGTTTGAAAACCACTGGCCTAGTTTGTCCTGAGCAAGTCAGAGACCCCCCACCCCAACTGCTTGCCACAAGCTGGCTCTGAGTTTCTGGTGTCAGCATACTCACAACAAGACCAAGTGGCACATGCAGCCTACCACCTCCCCTAGAAATACCATTAAAAAGTGCAGCCCTCTCTCAAAAGCAGAAGTCTGGACTAAACACCTGAGGCCAATTTGGTCCCACATTCTAGCGAGCACAACTACGTTGCCACATTCTAGGACCAAGTGAAAATCTCCAAGAAGAGTCAACCATGGTCTAGCTAAGCTGATCAGTGCTCAGGACCACAGGCAGGGTTCTAGAGCACTGTGTCAGAAAGTTAGCATTGGAGAGCAGCAATCTTAGCACCTTGGAAAGTGCAGCAGTGAGGTCTGGCTCAGGGCATGCAACTGGAGAGAATAATTTCTTCCTCAAAAGAAAAAGCCATAATCTGAAGCTGTTCTAGAGGACTGTGAGTTCCAAAGTTAACATCCTCAGACTCTGAGGTACAGACAAATAACACCCATGCAAACAGTGTGGCTTCAAATAAATCATAAATGCTTCTAGGTCATGGTAGGTACTCTAGAACCCATATGCCTGGCCCCTGATAAAGCCGAACCAAAGACCACAACACAGCATAGGCCAGTCCTGGAGTGCCCATCACCCTCACACCCATGGGATTCAGGGCTGAAATGGTCCTCTCAAGGCATCAACAGTCTCACTGAGACACAGTGTGGGACCCAGACTGTACTCAAGATCAGCACTTATGTCCACAACCTCGAAAGGAAAATTAGTTAGGGCCCCAATTTAGAGGTTCAGTTTGGGTACAGTGGTCCCAGAGATTGGAAACACTTTAGGCACCATTGTGCCTGAGTGGGAGAGGAGGGTGGCAGGCAGGTCCAGCTACCTAAGCCTCCACCCATCCAGGCTCAACAGCCCTGCCCTTCTATCAGAGCCCGGGAGGCAGCAGCAAGTGCATGATGCACAAGGAAGGGGGATGATGAAGGAACAAGGCCAGCTGCAGAACTGCTCTTCTCTTCAAAGCCTTGCCAATTACTTTCTGGAGAGAAGCAGCAGAGCCCTCGGTCTGGATACAATGTTTCTCTCTAAGCCTTGAGGCATCAGGACAAGGGCAGGGGAAAGGAGGGGTTGGGAGGAGGGACAGAGAACTGCCCCTAGTTCTTGCCATTGCAAGTGGGAATGTTTTCTCCTTGAGGAATCCCACCACCACCAGATTTGCCAGGCAGCCCAGCATGCACACCAGCATGCGTGCACATGCACACGCGTGTCCAAGCAGCCCACTGTTACAGCCACCTCTCCCTATCAACTGAGAACCCCCAAGCTTCCATTCCAAAAGGATGTGCCTTCTGCATTCCCCAAATCCCACTCATCTAATGGAATACAACTGCTTATGCAAGTCCACCTTCCTCAGGGCTGCGAACCAAGTTCCAGGTCGTTTCATGTGCCCACACCTATAGGTGTGATCCCTCCCACCTCCCCCAGCCCTGGATCGACTCCATCTCCTGCGTCCCTAAACTTGCCAAAACATTTCCCTCACCTATGTGTCCTGCTCACTCTTCCAATCGCCTACCTGGCCTACTCAGCTGCCTCACACACTACCCTTCCCCTGCCCATCCTGTTCCATGCCCACCCATCCACCAACTCCATTTCTTCCAAGGGCATTTCTCTGTTCTGTTCCTGCTCTCCTGGCCCCCAGCCACACCTAGCCCCACCTGGCCCTGGACTTTCACTTGCTAGCAAAAAAGGCCCCTACAGTTACCAGGGCCCCCAGTGCCACGGCCCCCGTCAGCACTGTCCTCACTGATGCCCAGTTCCCCTCCCGCAGACGCCGCGCCTCCTCCAGGGCCCCGTCCCCGTATAGAGCTGTGAACTCCGCCTGTGGGAGAGAAGGGAAGTAGGAGAGAAAGAAGGAGAAAGGGATATCAGGGGAGGAAAGAGTGGACAGAAGAGGAGAGGAAGAGTTCCAGTTCCATCCACTGCCAACACTACCCCATACCCAGCTCCTCTCTGGTCAAAGCTCTCCTGGCTGCAAGCCCCTCTGATCCCCCCAGGTGCACCCCCACCCTGAGAGACTGGTTCATTTGCCGCCCACTGTGCCTCCAGTGAATTCCATCCTTTCCTTGGCGAAAAATTCTGCTCAGAACTAGCATCCTTTGCCAAGGCTTGCCTGACCACCACCCATCCCTGGTCCTCCCCACCTCCCACACCATGACTCAGGTGCAAAAAGTCCCTGACAACATTCCCCTGCAGGCACTCCTTGGGTGTGGATTCTGTCCTCTGCTTGGGACCATGAGCCCATCCAGTGTTGACTGCATGGCAGCCCTGGAGTGCAGAGTCCAGGCATCTCTCAATCTGATTCCACCCAGACGGGGAGACTCAGCCCCACACCTCATTCCCAACATAGCTGCCTCAGTCTCCAATCAGAGCTCCCATCTTCCCCCTGGAAACCAGCTTTGCAGAGGGATGTGCAGAGCGGCAATTGAGAAGCTTCTTACCCAGCCCCCACTGCTGTGGATCCAGTCAGCCAGCCGCGTCTCCAGGTAGGCCACCATCCACTCCTGCACTTGTCCCACCAGTGGTTCCATCTCCTTGTTGACACTCTCAGCACACAGTGCAGCCCCAAAGACAAAGAAGGCTACAAGGCGGCCCCAGTTGGGGCCCCCTTGGAAAAGTTCATCGGAGACCTGGGTGAAGCGTTGCTGCGCTGAGCCTGGGGTCACATGCAGCTGAGCCGCCAGATCAGAGAAGGTGCGCCGGAAGCGGGTCTCGAACTCATCTCCAGCTGCCCGCATGGCTTGGTGCAGCGGGTCAGCTGCTGGGCCCTCCCCGGGGCCAGCTCCACAGACATAACCCTTCTGCCTCAGCTTATAACCTACAAAGTCTGCCACCAGAGCCCGTGTGTCTGGGGCCGAGGCTGGGGTCGCCATCCGGGCAGCTATAAGAGGCAAGGATGAAACACTGGCATGAATATATGGAGAGAGAATCAGAAGGGGCATTTCTGGTTTGACCAACCCAGTGAGATGAGGAGGAGAGAGGAAATGCTCAGAGCTCACTGGACAGGGAGAGGCAAGAACAAGGGAATTAAGTCATGATATGAGACCAGGCTGTGAGGGGCTGGCCATTACATTCCTAATATGCCAAATTACATTTAAAACAAGTAAATTTTCTGTTTAGAGATACTTTAGATTCTTTTCATAATAAGACAACGTCAGCTCTGTGACACCCCTACAACCAACCCTCCCACCCCCGGGCCTCCTAAGTCCACACCTCCTTGGCTAGAGGAAGGGGCTTAGGACCTCCCCAAATGCAAGATATAAAGATGTTGGCAGAGGCACAAGATGAGGGGGAGCAGATGGGCTGAAGAGAAAGGTGGGAGACGCAATGGTTTACTCCAGACAGAGAAAGGAAGAAGACACTCACCTAGCCGGGATGGCAGCTCTTAAGACACGGCACTGGTGGCAAGGAGCCCCCAGCTGGGGCCTTTCATCCTCCCGGCCAGCGTGGAGCTCTGGAAAGGGGAGGGGGAGATCAGAACCAGGAGGGGAAGGCCGGGGATCAGGTTCTGGCCTGGGAACGGCTGGGGTTGCAGCTCTGGGCCTGGGCCCCTGCCCCCAACGCTCTACCAGCTGTGTGGCCGAATCCATGTTTAATGACTGTCCTCCCGGGAAACCCAGGGCCAAGGGCTTCCTGCCGACACCATCTGTATTCGCGGTTCCCCCTAGTGCAGCCCAAAGGCCCAACTCCTCCCTTACCCCCACCTCAGCCAGTCTCCAACCCCGCCCGCCTGCCAGGTTAGGGATCTCACGGGTCAGGCCGCTGCCGGGATCCGGGCCGTTTCCTGGTGCAGGAGCTGGGAGGGAGGGAGAGAGGGAGGAAGGGAGGGAAGGAAGGAGGGAGGAGAAAGGGGGGGCAGAGGGAGGGCCCGGCGCCGGGTGATGATGGGGCCCAAAGATGCGTCCAGAGAGAGGGGCGGGGCTGGGACGCAGGCCTGCGAAGGGCCACTACTCAGGAAAGGGAGGGCTGCTGAAGGGCTGGCTGAGAGGGCACGGTGGGCTGGGCTGGGCTGGGCTCCTGAGCCTCGAGGCTGCCCAGAGAAATATGCCGGACTTCAGGACATCTTGGGGCAAATTTAGCATTTCCAGGAGGTTTCCGATGTTCCATGCACTTGTTGAACTTTTCCAGCCCTGAATTGTGTGCTTGGAAAACAGGAGCAGTTCCCATTAAGCTGGGAACGGTCTACCAGGTGCCTTACCCTTTTGGGACTAGCAGACACTACACAGACACCAAACCTTTCCCATCTTTTCTCCAGGACCTTTAACCCAGTGTTGTCTTTGTGGGCTGGGCTTCAGCCAGGCATCAAGGAGCCAGGACTTGGATCACAAGCAGTTTCTGCCGGTACTTTTCTTTAATTCATCTTCTTTTGTAATCAGATTGATTTTAGTGGTTTTTTTCTTTCTTTCTTTTCTTTTTTTTACCCAACACAGGAACTAATTCTCATTGTGAAAAAAATCAAACAATAAAGAGGTATGGAGTAATAAAATACAGGTTTTCAAACACACACACACATACACACCCAATTCCACTTCCCTCCCTGCAGGTTGCCAGTGTTAAGTTTGATGTTTATTCTTCCAGATTACATATATATGGGGCCATTATTTATACATGGCAGTATATTTATACAGGGCGGGTCACAGGTGTGAAGCAGTCTGACCACAGCTGATCCACATGAGAGCACTCACAGCCAGCCCCCTGGGCTCTTGGATCTGGCACTTTCTTCAGCTCCATTTAAAAAGCAACCCAACCAAAGGCCAGAAAGAAGCGACCCAGTTCTCCTCTTCTGCTAGTTCCCTTTGCTTCTACCTCCAAACCAAGCCTCTGTATTACCATCTGCCCTTATGGTCACTGGAGAAGTAAGGTCTTTTCTGCAGCAATAATAGTAACAACTAGCTGGGTTTGGTGGCTCACACCTGTAATCCCAACACTTTGGGAGGCCAAGGCAGGTGGATCACTTGAGGCCAGGAGTTTGAGACCAGCCTGACCAACATGGCAAAACCCCATCTCTACTAAAAATACAAAAATTAGCCAGCCTGTAATCCCAGCTGCTCAGGAGGCTGAGGCATGAGAATCGCTTGAAACCAGGAGGCTAAGATCATGCCACTGCACTCCAGACTGGGTGATAGAACGAGACTCTATCTCAAAAAAAAAAAAAAAAGTAAAAACATATTTTGAGGAGTTATTAGATGCTGTGCTTTTTTTACATGTATATTTTATCCTGTCACCAATCCTTATGCTGTTTTATCCTCATTCTATGAATGAGGAAATTGAGGTTTAGAGAGGTTAAGTGATTTGCCCAAAGACATATACTGATATGCAAGAAGCTAGGACTCGCATCTCATGCTGTAACTTTGACACTATTGCTTCAAGATCACTTCTTGCCTTTGCATAGTCAATACTGTTCTCATAGTCTGAATCCACACCATTTACATGTCCACACTCAATTCTCTCCTCTATTCTAAACACACAGCCTATTACACTCCTTTATGGCTGTATCCTTTCAGCCAATCTTATTTCTTTTTTGTTCTTAGCCTGATCATTCTGGCTGCCGCCAGCAAGCTTGCCCTCTTTACAGAATAACCTACTCCAAGTCTTCATTTGCACTCCTGGTTTGTTTGTTTGGTTGGTTGGTTGGTTGGGTGTGAGACAGGGGTCTCACTCCATGGCCTAAACTGGAGTGCAGTGGTACAATCACTGTTGACTTCAGCTTCCACCATCTAGGCTCAGGCAATCTTCCTACCTCAGTGTCCCCAGTAGCTGGGACTAGAGGTGTGCTGCACTATGCTTAGCTAAATTCATTTTTTATAGAGATGGGGATCTCATTATGTTGCCCAGGCTGATCTCAAACTCCTGGGTCAGCTTGCTTGTAATACAAAGTAACGTATGATTTATTATACATTAATTTTTATATATAATATACATATTATATTGTGTATATATACAATATATACATTGTATATTTTGTATCATATGTAATGATATGAAGAGAATACATCCATGCATTCTATATAGGTATAAAATAAAAAAGTCAATATTGCTTTAAAAATGAGTCCTAGCTAAGTAGTATTGCTGCAGTCAATACTAGTGTGAATACATGTAAACAGGAATGAGTTGTATAATAATAAGATAACATGTGTCTCATGGTTTATTTTCAACTTAGTCACTTGTGGTTTTACAGTTAAACTATCCTGCTGCTTTAAATTTAGAGACTTCATTTCTACCCTAAGATTCCTTCTTTTAACACCCTGAGAATGTTACCTATTATTGTTAAATGTTTTAATCTTATATAACCAAGTGGATAAGAGCGTGGACTCTAGAGCTAAACTGTTTAGGTCCTGATCCCACCTCCCCAATTATTAACTATGTAACCCTGGGCAAGAGTCCTCTCCCCTACCTCAATTTTCTCATCTTTAAACTAGGCATAATAGTCTGTATTCCTCTGATAGTTGTATTACATGGGTTAGTATTTGCAAAACCCTTACAACAGTACCTAGCACATTAAGTGCTATATAAGATCAGTAGGAAAGTTAGAAAAAAAAAAACTAAAAACACTTCACCTTTTTTTTTCCACTAATGTAAAAAAAAAAGAAAAGAAAAAGAAAGAAAGAAAGGGGAAAAAGCCAGGTCTGTCCTTCTTGGAAGCTCCCAGTAGTTGGGAATTCCACAGTCCCAACTCCAAGAGAGTTGTTGAGTGCTTGTTCATTCAATAATTTGAATGCCTACCATATACTAAAACACCATGAATCAGACAAAGCCCCTGCCCCCAAAGGGCTTACACTTGGGTTAGAAATCAGAACTCCACCACTTTTTTATAGACGAGAACACTGAGTTCAGGGTCTGGTGTGGTGGCTCATGCCTGTAATCCCAGCAATTTGGGAGGCCAAGGCGGGCAGATCACCTGACATCAGGAGTTCGAGACAAGCCTGGCCAACATGCCGAAACCCCGTGACTACTAAAAATACAAAAATTAGGCAGGCATGGTGGCAGACACCTGTAATCCCAGTTACTCAGGAGGCTGAGGTAGGAGAATCGCTTGAACCCAGGAGGCGGAGGTTGCAGTGAGCCAAGATCACGACACTGCACTCCAGCCTGGGCGACAGAGTGAGACTCCATCACACACACACACACATACACACACATGAACACTGAGTCCAGAGAAGTTACCAGAGAAGTTATGCCTTGTTTGCTCAAGGTCACTAGACGCTAGGTCTTCCCGCAGTTCTCAGTTCGGGTGCCACATTCTCACCTTCTATTTGAAAGACTCTACCTAGCTTTCATGACCTTTCCTTCTTTGCACCCACCATCAGCCTCTGCCCAAACCAGGAGCCTAGGTTTCAGAAAAGAAAACAGTGAACCCCAAAGATAAAGTCACATGCTGGACGTTTTGAACCTTCCCCTGCAAGAAAATGAAAGGTTATTTTTTTCTTCCCAGCGTTAACCTTTCCTATGCTACGCCGGAAAGGTTGAGGACTTTTTACATTTTATTATTATTATTATTGTAGAGATTAGGGGTCTCACTATGTAGCCCAGGCTGAGTCTTGAACTCCTGGCTTCAAGCAATCCTCCCACCTCGGCCTCCCAAAGTGCTGGGATTAGAGGCGTGAGACACCGCGTCCGATCCGTGTTTTTTTAAAAAGGTTAAGTGGCCTCACTCGGGACCGAAAAGATGGAGTCCCCGCCCCCGGTGCAGCAGCGAAGACAAACGGAGCCACCTGTGAGAGGGCTGTGGGCGGGGGGAACCCGGGCCGTGAGGGCCTTGGAACGGGAGGGTGAGTGCCGTTGAGCGCACGCTCAGAGCAGACCGCTAGCAGGAGGCAGGATGTGATTAAGACCCTGGAAGCTGACGGCCAGAGGGAGGGAGAGGTGGTCACAGAGGAGAGGTAAAGCAACCGGAGGTGGAGGATCCTGGAGGTGACTGCAAGGAGAGTACGCAGTGGCGAGGGGCTGCAGAAGCGGACCCAGCGATTTCTGCGCCGACGCGGTGCAGGCAGGAGAGAGGAAGAGAGGGGAGCGCGGTGGCGCTGCGGGCTGGCCCCGCCGGGGAGGGGGCTGCCATGTCCCGTGAGCGGCCCCCGGGCACCGACATTCCCCGCAACCTGAGCTTTATTGCCGCGCTAACGGAGCGCGCCTACTACCGTAGCCAGCGGCCCAGCCTCGAGGAGGAGCCAGAGGAGGAGCCAGGCGAGGGCGGGACGCGGTTCGGGGCACGATCCCGCGCTCATGCACCTAGTCGGGGCCGCCGGGCCCGCTCAGCACCAGCCGGAGGCGGCGGGGCTCGGGCGCCCCGCAGCCGTAGCCCAGACACCCGCAAGAGAGTGCGTTTCGCCGACGCACTGGGGTTGGAGCTGGCTGCTGTGCGCCGCTTCCGTCCCGGTGAGCTGCCCCGGGTGCCCCGCCACGTGCAGATCCAACTGCAGAGGGACGCCCTCCGCCACTTCGCGCCCTGCCAGCCCCGCGCCCGCGGCCTCCAGGTAGGCGGCGGGGGCACCCTCCCTCCGGGGGACCTCCCTCAGTCGGCCGCATCGGGCGTGTGGGAGTGGATTTGCCAAAGAGCACCCATCTCCATCCCATCCCTGGGCTTGCGCCTGCCCATCCCTTTTGGGGTACACCATTTGCTAGTGGCTCTAGGCCACCCTGGCAGCGAGGCCGCACTGTGCGGGCGCGGACGCCGGAGTCGGCCTCTGATTGGCCCAGTGCCTCGCTCTGACACCGCCCCCTCTCTCTCCCCTCTCTCCGCCCTGGACTCCCTCCTCCCGCTTCTTTCCTCCAGGAGGCGCGCGCCGCCCTGGAGCCGGCCAGCGAGCCCGGCTTCGCCGCCCGCTTGCAGGCGCAGCGCATCTGCCTGGAACGCGCGGAGGCGGGCCCGATGGGCGTGGCCGGGAGCGCGCGCGTGCTGGACCTGGCCTACGAGAAGCGCGTGAGCGTGCGCTGGAGTGCGGACGGCTGGCGGAGCCAACGCGAGGCGCCCGCCGCCTACGCCGGCCCCGCCCCGCCTCCGCCGCGCGCCGACCGCTTCGCCTTCCGCCTGCCCGCGCCGCCGATTGGGGGCGCCCTGCTCTTCGCTTTGCGCTACCGTGTGACAGGTCACGAGTTCTGGGACAACAACGGCGGCCGTGACTATGCTCTACGTGGGCCCGAGCACCCGGGCAGTGGCGGAGCCCCGGAGCCCCAGGGCTGGATCCACTTTATCTGAGACGAGGCGCCTGTGGCCGACGGCTGAAAACACCAAAGGCACCCGGGGGCGGGGGGACCCGATGTGGCGGGGAGGAATAGGAGAGACCAGGATTGGCGGGGAGCAGTCCAAGGGAGTCAAGCCGGGGAGGGCGAGAAGGGCGGGGAGGCCGGGGGAGTGGGCGGAACCAGCGAAGCTCGGGGAGGTCCGGGTGTTAAAAGCTGGTTGGATGTGAGTGAAAGGGACCCAGACTGTAGGAGGAAGCAGACCCGCAACGGCACCAGAGGGATTAGAAAAAAAGGAAAAGAATGGGGATGATGGTGGCTTTCCCTTCAGTGAGTGGGCACTGGGAGAAAGGTAGGAGGTCCATCAGGCCTAGGCAGTTGAAGAAGGTTAAGAACCTTTCGGAGACGGAGGAGGTATGATGTGAAGTAGCCCACCCAGTCGAAGTCTTTTAGATTGCTGGCGCATTCCCTCTTCTTACCCACCTTTTCCACCTCAGATCCCCCGTCCTACCCATCCTAGCTTTAACTCAGCCATAATTGCCTTGCTTAATCCCAGGAACCTGGCCACTGCTCCTTGGTCCTTGGCATTAGGACGGGATTCCCTTGTCACCTCTGACAGTTCCTGGCTGCGGTGTCCGCGGACTGGCTGGGGAGTGATGACAGGTAGCCATCAGAGCTCCAGCCTCCAGGCAGCTTTAGGGATTAAAATGGAGGCCAAAGCAACTCCAGACCTGTTTTTGTAGCCAAATACTGTGGTGCCTCAGGGGTTGTACACTCAGGGGCTTCCAGGAAAATGCCAACCTTACCTTTCTGGAGTGCCTTTTAATAACCTCCAAGCACTTTATGGACTGTTTGTCGAGGGACAGTGAATCAGGAGAATGACTATTCTGATTTCCTTTGTCTCCGAAAAGGAATTCCCTGACTAGCTATATAACTCTGGGCAAGTTACTTCACCTCTTTGTGCCCCAGTTTTTTCCTTGGAAAACTGGATTTAGGTTAGATGATCTTTTAAGGCTCCTTGTATGATATTTTGTGATCTGTACATGGCAGAGTATAGATTAGAAGCCACATTTTGCAACCTAGTGCTATGGTTCAGAATACATAGTACCCCAAGCGTCTGGCTGGGGCCGAGGATGGGTCCTCCAGTTCTTGACACAGATGTTCCAGAGCCCACGAAGCATCCCATAACCAACCATCAGCCCATCATCTGCTCCATTTTGCTCTTGCCCTCACAGACTTTCAGCCTCCATGCTCTGAGACAACTGTGGATAGGTACATCTCTTTTGGTGAAAATGATGCTTGAGAACCCAAAATTTAAAGGAAACAATGTTAGGGGCTTTTGTGGGGATAAAAGATAATGGTTATGTGGAATAGAAACATTTCAAATGAAGAATCAAAACATTTCAATCAATCCACTTGGTTGTAAAAAAACAAACAAATAAAGCACCTAAGCAACTTGAATAGTAAATGGCACCAGAAGATGGCAGTCTGCTCCATAACCAGAGCAAGTGCAGTGGGAAAGCTGGACTCTCATAGCCACTCACATTCATGCCTTATGTCTCTCCTCCTGGTTAACCTTAAGAGGGGAGTGATTCCTCTGCTGGTTGCTGTTTTTCCTTTTCTCTTACCCTATTCCTAACCTCTTTGCTTCTCTCTTTCTTTCCTTGTGTCTCTCCCTTCTCATCACTTTTTTTCTTTTAACATACAGGGCATTTACCTTCATTTTGTCTATTTCCATTTGTTTCCTTCTTCATTCTTGTTCATATCTGCTATTCCTTCTCACTCCAGAAGGGATGGAAACCCTATTTTCTTTTCTCCAAGACCGTGGTTGGTCTACTTTCCTCACTCGGGCTCCTTGACAGTCTTCTAGAAGAGAGAAGGAGGAAAAGAAGCAGTTTCTGATGTTACAAATGAACAAGGATCTCCCAGGTAACCAACTCTCCACACCCATTTCTGTTACTAATTTTTCAAAGAGAAATTTCTGGTTCCCCTTCTTCCTTATCACTGAGTGAAGGGGGACGGGCATGCACATGTGCCCATACATGCATTCAGAATAGAGTGTAGGGGCGGGTGCAATGTATCATGCCTGTAATCCCAGCTCTTTGGGAGGCTGAGGCAGGTGGATCATTTGAGGTCAGAAGTTCAAGACCAGCCTGGCCAACATAGTGAAACCCTGTCTCTACTAAAAATACAAAACTTAGCTGGGCATGGTGACTCATGCCTGTAGTCCCAGCTACTCGGGAGGCTGAGGCAGGAGAATCACTTTAACGGGGAGATGGAGGTTGCAGTGAGCTGAGATTGCGCCACTGCACTCCAGCCTGGGTGACAGTGAGACTCCGTCCCAAAAAAAAAAAAAAAAAGAATAGAGTATGGGGCTTGTTACCATGCCCCTCCTGTCCACAAGCTTAGTCTTTGAGAAAAGATGACTGAAAGAGAGGAACCCTCCAAGTCATTCCTCAAACAAATGCCAATTTAAACATCATCCTTGTGAAGAAAACAGGAAGAATGTCATGTACTACGTGGATCACCTTCAGTTCAAAGTTGCAGCAAAGTGAAGAAAGAAACTACTGGAAGCCACCCAGCAATGCACTGTTTAGTCATCAATTAGGAGCCCATGGGAGGATAATAGGGAGACTGGGTGGAGGCTCAGTTTGTAATAATCTCTTGTCTAATGTATGTGTGTCACTGCCATGTTGTATTAACAATAGTGAGGGCTCACATTTACTTAATACTTGTGTGCTAAAATCTGTTTTTTTTTTCTTTCCAGAACTGACTTGATCATAAAATCTGTTTTGTTTGCATGCATGCCCAAAACAACCCTATGAGTAGAACATTATCATTATCTGTATTTTAGAGATGAGGAAACAGGATCAGAGAAGCTCAGTGATTTGTTCAAGATCACACAGCTAGTAAATGGCAGAAGTAGGATTGTGAACCCAGGGAATCTCCAGAGCCTCTGTGTAACCATGATGTTATATTTTTTTCCTCTTTTAAAACAAAATTAAAAGCCTTGCTATAATCTCTTATTATGAAAAGACCATAGTTTCTGATTGTGCTCTGCCTTCCCATCCTGCCAATCTTCTGGACTGGCTTGGAGAAGACAGGGGGCCCCCAAGCTTCATCTGTGACTCAAAGGAGTTTGCTGCTGTCTCCTGTGTCAGTGTCCCATCAGCACGGGACCCCCCTCACCTGCCTACTTACACTCTAGCCTTTCCATACATTGGAATTGTCTCCTGGCCCTAGCCAGCGCTCCACACCTGTTGGTGTGCCACCTCCCTCCCTCTTCCCCCACTGGCCTTGAACAGATAAACCCCCTACTGTTGCCACTAGGTTGGGTCCATGACTGAGACACCTGCTAGAGGGTCTGTGCTTGGGCCTTTTCTAGGAATCCTGATGTTACTGGGTAAGTGCCAACTCTGTGGGCAGAATGCTAATGATAATCCTGTTCCCTAAGCTCTTTCTCTCTGAGAAGTACCCTGGCTCACTCCCCCCAATCTCAGCTTTATAGAACAACATTTTGGTCTTGATTATTCCCATATTGAGCTGCCCCAAGGCTTGGGTAAGCTGTTAGTTTCCCCACTGCCTCAGGGCTGGGTCTGGCTGAGCTACTTTCTTATGCACACAAATAATGGGTGTCTCCTTGGAACCTGACTTTACATAACTATCAGTGCTACCAAACCTTGTAAAATAGGGAAGAAACTAATATTTCTTGAGTGGCTCTCTGGAGAGATTCCCTGCCCTGATGCCTTTGGTGTCTACTCCTTTCCCAGGACTTCAGCATTGAGATTTTCCCAACCCCCTCACTTTTCCTCACTTTGGGTTGAGCTGATTCAGCACTACCACAAACCCCAGCATCTGCAAATCAACCAAGATTAGTCAGTATGCCCTTTCCATCTTGCACTGCTCTTCCAAAACTTCCATCTGTATTTCTCATACCCCCAATAGGCAAAGCTGAGTGTGCTAGGAGAGAGCTGCATCCACTGCTTTCTCCCAGCCAGGTGCAGTCTAATCTGACATGGGGAACACTAGAAGTTTAGCGGAATCTTCAGCCACCCTATTAATGTGTCACACATTAGGCGTTATGGTGGAAACTCCTCTGACGGCTCATGACTGTATAAACAGGAGCAATTTGGAATATAACATGTCAGCGGTGGACTGGGAAGTGCTGTAAGAGAAAACACTACCAAGGTCATAGGCTTGGGTCCTTGAGGCAATCCAGCTCTGTTGCCCATTCGTCTCATCCAGACCGCAGGTATCTTCCTACACCTACCTGTCCTATAGCTTCCGTCCTGTTTTGTTTGTTTTTCTTTGTGAATGTAGAAAAACATTTCATTGTGAGCCGTAGCTCCTCGGTTTTCCATCTAACACCTACATTCCCTTGTTTCTAACTGCTATGTTTTTCTGGAGCCTGTTGGGGTCTTTACAGTTTGCAGGTCATAGAATCAGACCTGAAAAGGCTTCTCTTCAGACATCATTGGCTCCAGGCTCCTTTACAGATGAGAACACAGGTCCAGAAGTGAGAAACGACTCTAGCAGGGTCATAGAATTTGTTAGTGCAGCTCAAGATGGGACTTAAACTCAGGCCTCCTTATCGCATCCCATTCCCAGGCTAAGAAACAGGTCTCTGCTGGGTGTGGTGGTTCATACTTGTAATCGCAACACTTTGGGAGGCTGAGGCAGGAGCGTTGCTTGAGCCCAGGAGTTTGAGACTTAGCGACATAGTGGGACCCTGTCTCTACAAAAACTTAAAAAATTAGCTAGACATGGTGGCACACGTCTGTAGTCCCAGCTACTTGGGAACCTGAGACAGGAGGATCGTTTGAGTGCAAGAGTTGGAGGTTACTGAGCTATGATCACACCACTACACTCCAGCCTGGTGACAGTGAGACCCTCAAAAAATGCATAAAATAAAAATAAGAAAAGAAAGAGGTCTCTACACAAACCCGTGATTTTCCATGGCAAGGGATAACATCGTAAATGTTTCATTTTCTGCTATTAGTTTCCATTCCTTTCCCCATCCAGGCGAAAAAGAGAAACAAAAGACAATGACAGTATTTTCTGTGTCCCCAGCTTTGGCACTTTTGTTGATGTTGCTAAGGAGCAGTGACCTTGCTAAAAAGACTGAATAATCCGTCCACTGAATAGCTAACCTGGGAAGGAAATGAAAATTTCCTATGTGAATCTCCCCAAATCCATTGTTATCACCAGGCCCTCCCAGAGACTCCCCAGTTCCTTCACAGTGCAACCCTGTGCACTTGGCCCTCAACCCAATAGTATTGTTTCTCACTTCGCCTTCCATGGGCAACTGCCCTCCCTTCTGGACATAAAACCTCACATTTTAAATAAAGTTGAAATATGAAAAGAAAGTATGTAATAAGATATTCAGAAGTATTGTGTGTTTGGGGCTAAGGGCAGCAAGAGACTCAGAAGCAAGATTCCCTCCTTGACTCCATTTCTTGGTCACCTTGTTTCTTTTTGTGTGTGTGTCCAGAAAAATTTAGTAAGTTTGCTTGTAATTATTATAAAGTTGAATCACTGAAACATTTTGACTTGCATTAATGCTTTACTTCCCCACCCACATTTATATTAAAAATTCACACACAAATGAAAATTGAAAAACTGACAACACTTGACTTCTGTCTCCTGTTCTTCTGCTCACAGTCATATACTTAGGTACCTTTTGACCCCGTGGGGGAAAAAAAATCTAACATTCAGAACTGCCAATAACAGGAAACAGAGACTATTTTTTTTTTTTTTTTTTTTTTTTTTTTTTTGGAGAATGAAGTTTCCCCGATCATAATGGATTCTTAAGTACATTCTTCACGCATGCAGCATGCTAACTGGATGTCTTTTGATATAGGTGTTACACGTTTGGCATGGACAACACACAGGTTGGTGTCTTCAAAAGGCCAACCAGATAGGCTTTGCTTGCCTCCTGCAAAGCACTACTAAGCTGCACTCTGGAAGGGCAGATCTCTTTTAAAGTCCTGAGCAATTTCTCACACCAGATGCTGGAAGGGAAGTTTGCGAATCAGTTCAGTAGATGTCCGATAATGTCTAATTTCAGGGAGTACCACAGTACCAGGCCTGTAATGACGAGGTTTCTTCACCCTCCAGTAGAGGGCGCGCCCTTGTGCGCAGTTTTTGTGGGGGGTCGGGGCGAGTGTGTGTTGTTTTTTGGGTTTTTTTCCTGAGACGGAGTCTTGCTGTCGCCCAGGCTGGAGTGCAGTGCGCGATCTCGGCTCACTGCAACCTCAGCCTCCCCAGGTTCAAGCGATTCTCCCTGCCTCAGCCCCCGAGTATCTGGGACTACAGGCACACGCACTGCCACACCCGGCTAATTTTTTCTTTTCTTTTTTCTTTTTTTTTAGTAGACACGGGGCTTCACTATGTTGGACAGACTGGTCTTGAACTCCTGACCTCAAGTGATCCGCCCGCCTCGGCCTCCCAGAGTGCTAGGATTACAGGCGTGAGCCACTGTGGCTGGCCAATTTTTGTTGTTGTTGCTTATTTGTTTGTTTCTTTGAGACGGGGTCTTGCTCTGTCTCCCAGGCTGGAGTGCAGGGGCGCGATCTGGGCTCACTGCAAGCTCCGCCTCCCGGGTTCACGCCATTCTCCTGCCTCAGCCTCCGGAGTAGCTGGGACTACAGGCGCCGCCACCTCGCCCGGCTAGTTTTTTATGTTTTTAGTAGAGACGGGGTTTCACCGTGTTAGCCAGGATGGTCTCAATCTCCTGACCTCGTGATCTGCCCGCCTCGGCCTCCCAAAGTGCTGGGATTACAAGCGTGAGCCACCGCTCCCGGCCGTTTTTGTATTTTTTTTAGTAGAGTCGGGGTTCTGCCATGTTGGGCAGGCTGGTGTCGAACTCCAGGCCACACGTGATCCGCCCGCCTCGGCCTCCTGAAGTGCTGAAATTACAGGCATGAGCCATCTCGCCCGGCTGGAGCAGCTTTTGTAGCCAGTTGCTTCCTGGGTGCTTTACCTCCAGTCCATTTGTGAGCAGTCTGCTTTGTGTGAGACTGTGAGAGAGACCTCCTTACTTACTCCCCTTCTTCAGCTAGAGCTCAGGGAGCTAGAGATGGCCCTGGTTAGAGAGCTACCTTATTTCCTAAAAGTCCTATTCTCTTGCTACTGGAGTGCCCTCTGGCTATGCAAACGCGGAGAGGAAGGATTTTTGGAGGACTCAGGCAGGCCTGACGTAAGACACTCCCAAAGGGATCCTATCATCATTTTGGGCAGTGGGAAATTTACCAAGGCCCAGCTCTTCTCTGGAACCCAGTACCAACTGCTTTAACCAAGAGTTAAAGGGAAGAGCTTGGGGAAAGCCCTGCATTTCTCCTTGGGTGGGGGAATCCTTCCCTAAGGAGGCCATCTGAATTACATTCTGCTGCTGCATTTTTTTTTTTTTAAAAGACAGTGTCTTACTCTGTGGCTAGGCCAGAGTTCAGTGATGCAATCTCGGCTCACTGCAACCTCCGTCTCCCGGGTTCAAGCGATTCTCCTGCCTCAGCCTCTCGAGTAGCTGGGACTACAGGCGTGCACTACCACGGCCAGCTAATTTTTGCATTTTTAGTAGAGACATGCTTTCACCCTGTTGGCCAGGATGGTCTCTATCTCTTGAGCTCGTGATCCGCCCCCCTCGGCCTCCCAAAGTGCTGGGATTACAGGCCTGAGCCACCGCACCCGGCCCACATTCTACTTCTTAAGTGCTGGATGGAAGAGCAAAGCACTTACCAAATGCAACCCCCTAAGGCGGAGGAGAAATATGGAAAGGAAAAGCAAGGATGTCTGCCTAATTCAGAATGGAGTGATCCATTATACAAGGAAGAGGTCCTTGAAAAAGATTAAGTTCTAACAGGATTGACTTCTACATCACTTGAATAATGAAAGAATCCAATTACCCTCAAAGTAATTAGAATGTTCCTACTAGGGAAGCCCTACCCTGAGAATAACAGATACCTCCTCATTACATCATAATGGCCAAGTTGTGATGTCGGCACAGAGCACTTACTCGTCAGTAAGTGTTGTCAGTGAAACAAGATATGCTGAAGAGCAGAATCAGCATGAGGAGCAGACACTCCAGGAGAGGTAAGTGGGTTCGCTCCATGGCTTATTGTCCAGGGTCTCTGTGGCCCCAACCTCATTGCAGACTTCTCACATTTTTGATTAGGTGTGTCTGAACTCTTTTCTCCACTAACCTTCAATGCAGCTTTTGCTATCCCAAGTCTATCCGCAATCCTCAATCATTGCAGTTTGTACTAATCAGCCCTCCAGCTCTGATATTTCTTAGGAGACAGAGCCCAGGGTACTGGAGTATGATTTCCCCAAATGGCCCAGAAACTCCCCATATCCATTCGGTTAGTCCCAGGGGTAGATCCAGGTTTTTGGGTGCCTGAAATGTGTAACTTTTGGAGCCCCCTTTAAGAAAAATAAATACAAGATTAGGGGGAAAACGTGAATATTTGTTTTAGAATGAGAAAAGCTGTCAACGAATAATTTTTTTAAAAGCTGTCAAAAATTGTCTACCTGACAAACCTATATATTGGTCTACAATTTTTTTAAGCTGCCTGCTCTTTGATAGCCTTTTCATATGATAAATACGTTTTCCTAAAGAGAAAAGTAATTCAGTCTTCCAGAAAGATTGATCATATTTCAAAAATCCCCCACCTCTTTTTTTTTTTTGAGCCAGGGTCTCAGTGTGTCACCCAGGCTGGAGTGCAGCTCACTACAGCCTCAACCTCCTGGGCCCAAGTGAGTCTCCCACCTCAGCCTCCCAAGTAGCTGGGACAGCAGGCATGCGCTACCACAGCATTTTTTTTTTTTTTTTTTTTTTAAATACTGAGTCTTGCACCATCGCCCAGGCTGGAGTGCAGTGGTACAATCTTGTCTCACTCCAAGCTTTGCCTCCTGGGTTCACGCCATTCTCCTGCCTCAGCCTCCTGAGTAGCTGGGACTACAGGTGCCCACCACCACGCCCAGCTAATTTTTTGTATTTTTAGTAGAGACGGGGTTTCACCATGTTAGCCAGGATGGTCTCAATCTCCTGACCTTGTGATCCGCCCGCCTTGGCCTCCCAAAGTGCTGGGATTACAGGCGTGAGCCACCGCGACCGGCCATTTTATTTATTTTTTTTTTTTGAGAGAGAGAGAGAGAGAGAGACAGGATCTCGCTGTGTTGCCCAGGGTGATCCTTCTGCCTCAGTCTCCCAAGTGCTGGGATTACAGATATAAGCCACGTACCAGGCCACATTTTAAAAATTCTTGATAATTTACAAAAATTTTATCTTCACACCTTGTAAGTGATAATGTCACAACTTTTTAGAATTTTTGTCAAACTTGTAGTGTTTCAAATTTGTAATAACTAATGCCATATACTATTGGAATTGGTGACATTATTTCTGGAAGCTATGCGTATTAGTTTACTAGGGGTGCCATAGCAAAATAGCACAGATTGGATGACTTGAACAACAAATTTATTTTCTCAGTTCTGAAAGCCAGATGCTCAAGATCAAGGTGTTGGGGAAGTTGCTTTGTTCTGAGGTCTCTCCTTGGCTTCTAAACGGCTATATTCTCCCTTTGCCTTCACACGCTCTTTGCTCTGTGTACACAACTGTGTCCACATTTCCTCTCATAAGGACACCAGTGACACTGTATTAGAATCCACCCTATAGACCTCATTTATTATTTTATTTTGAGATGGGGTCTCGCTCTGTCACTCAGATTGGAGAACAGTGGTGCCATCATGTTTCACTGAAGCCTCAGTCTCCTGGGCTCTAGCAATCCTCCCACCTCAGTCTCCCGAGTAGCTGGGACTACAGGCACACATCGTCACACTGGGCTGATTTTTTATTTTCTGTAGAGACAGGGGACGGGGTCTCGCTGTGTTGCTCAGGCTGGTCTCAAACTCCTGGGCTCAAGTGATCCTCCCGCCTTGGCCTCCCATAGTGCTGGGATTACAGGTGTGAGCCACTGCGCCCGGATCCTAAAGACCTCATTTTAACACAGTTACCTCTTTAAAGATCTTATCTCCAAACACGGTTACATTCTGAAATACTAGGGGTTAAGACTTTAACATGAAATTTTGGGGGGATATAGTTCAGTTCATAACATTATAACTACATAGGGATAATTTATTCACAGAAGTAACTGCAAATCACTTAAGTATACCTACTAAACCCACACTAAATGTATTGCCACCCAGCACAGTGGCTCATGCCTGTAATCCCAACACTTTGGGAAGCCAAGGTGGGCAGACTGCTTGAGCTCAGGAGTTTGAGACCAATCTGGGCAACAAAAAAATACAAAAAATTAGCCAGCTGTGGCGGTGTGCCTGTAGTCCCGGCTACTTGGAAAGCTGAAGTGGGAGG